TTCCTGCTTGCATCTTTTAGTGCTCCAATTCTTGTCTCCCCAGGAGGCTGAAATGATGTTTTCTTTTGAAACTCTCTGATAACTTTTCAGTGTGTTTCTGCTATTACAGTAATGGAGTGTTCGCCATCTCTTATCAATTCAGCCTAATTTATTACAACAAAGAAACAGTTTGTTTCAAGTAAAAGCATTTTATGTTCATTTGTAACGTAGCCTTCATTGTTTGGAACCATTCCACGCTGACTTCCAGAGTCTGTTTGAATGAAAAGTAGTAGTACATTAAGCTGCTGATCATTAAAGCAAGGGCAAGTGATGAATGGTTTGGAAATTTATGTTACTTACCATTTATTTTATGTTTTTTCTTCCATAAAATCAAATACATGATAGATGGCAAGCAGCAAGTCTTGAGTTTGGGTATGGACATGCAGTTAGAATGGCTGACACTAGAAGACTTTCAGAACCATCTTGATGGAGTAGATGAGAATCGTGTGTCAACAGAACCGATATCAAGTAGTGAGTAGTTGCTGGGAGGAAGGGACATTTCTTAGCTGGCTTTTCAAAGTGAAATATCCTATAACTGCATTGAATTTATTTTCTAGCTCTCCTGAGGGATGCTGTTAAAAGTGGAGATTATATGACAGTAAAGATGGCACTTTCTTCAAATGAGAAGTATAATCTGGATCAAGAGGTAATTTTTCTGCAGTAGAAGCGGGGGAAGAGTGCGCATTTGGATTGTTTGAAAAGTTTTCCCCTCTTGCTAGAAGCAGATTTCTGTCTCACCTTGGGAAAAAAAGCACAAGTGAGAAAAGTGAGTACAGACTCACACAAGATGAGTACAGAATTTGAGGCTTCAGTATTTGTTACCCACTTCTTCCAAAGAAAAAATGAAGTTTGATAGAAGTAAAGTTTGATAGGAGCATCCCAGTAGCTGGATTTGCAGCAGATTTGCCTGCTGGATTTAACTGAATGTTAAATTTAGAACTGTACATGGTATAAGGAATGATGATACCCATCAGGTCAAGTGGCTAAACTATGTTAAACATATATACATGAGGAAAAAAAAAATTGGAATGTTCTCTTTGACAGACTGGGACCACTTCACTCCATGAATAATTAGTTTTCTGCCAGTTCTTCATCAGCTGTGTTCTTGCTGGTTTTTCTTTCAACGATCTGTTTTCCTGTTAAATAGTACTGTAGTTCCATTTTTGAGGATTAAAATCTCTGATACCAGTATTTTCACTGGTGATCTTGTGTAGTTGTGTTATGTGGTATTTTAAGAACTATATGTTATGCTAAGACATCTGTAGCATAGTAGAAAAGATACCAAATGAACTACTGAGGCAAGCATGTGTTCTTTGAATTATAGTGCCTGGTGAAAAATGCGAGAATGAGTGAGGAGACTGGCCACTCACAGAAGTCTCTTCATACTTCGATAAAATGCAAAAGCAGCATTGTGATAACAGCTGACTTGACCCACTGTGTCTTGCCTCCAGTGGCTGCTGATTTCTTTTTCCACTGTCTTGCTGTCTTCCCCACCCTCAGATACCTTGCCGCATTTCTTCTTGGCTCATTCTGGTTTTCGTCCTTCTTGTTCTGGTCCTCGTAATGTTACAGGTTTTGCAGATTATGGAGCTCGGAGTGTGAGGCCTGTGGACAGAAGTGGGAGGTGATAGTTCGTCAGTATCTGGCAGCCATGTATGTGTGAATTCTTCTGCCAGGGAGGGGAATCTTTGTGAAACCTGTTGACGCACTTGCAATTTTTGTCTTGCGGCTTTGATTTATCTTAAAGTATTTGGGGGTTTTTTGGGGTTTGGAGGGGTTTTTTGGGTTTTTTTTTTTCCTTTGTAATGGCAATGATTTCTTCTGGCAGGACTCGAGTGGAATGACACTAGTAATGCTTGCTGCTGCTGGTGGGCACGATGACCTTCTCCGGGTCCTAATCAGGAAAGGAGCTAAAGTTAATGGTAGACAGAAAAATGGAACAACTGCATTAATACAGGCAGCTGAGAAGGTTGGCTTCATTATTGTCGTATTTGTGGCTCTTGGCTCTTTTACTTATGTTTAAAAGTGGTACACAATTTTTTTTCCTTTGGATGGTGCCTGAAAAGTAGTTAGCAGGGTATAGTGGGGTGACCTCTTAACTGCATAATTTCAGCAGCTGTGGTTACTGTGGTGTAAATAAATTCTGATCACAAACCCTACCCTGAGTAGAGAATATCATAGGGCTACCTAGAGGGAAAGTGGAGGCAAAGGATATCTCTGAATTTGTCGTGGGGGTTGAAGTTCTCATTTTAGAAGTGCTTGTTATGATCTCTGGCTACACAGGATCCAAACTTGGGAGACTTTGAGAGCAAATCTCTGGTTAAGCAGGGTTTACTGTTTGAGAGTTGGGAGATGGAGACAGTGGCAAGCTTTTCTCAAACTAAGACCAGTTAGACTGGTAAGTTAGAGAATGTTTCATGGGTGTGCTCTTTCGTTAAAGTTGGTTCATGTGTTTTCGCATATACAGTAGATAGAAGGCCAAAAGGGAGCTCAATTCCAGTTTGGTGATTAATGCAAACATACTGTTTTCTTCTTGTGGTGTTCACTATTGCAAAAAAGTAAGAATTGTAAATACGGCTGTCTACTTGCCTGAGTCTGAATTGCTCTTTATTAGCCATAGGAGAGAACAATGTTAATCGTGTCATGCCTCATGCTTTGGATTTTACTGATGGATTTTAAATAAATGCCACTTTATATTCTGAAACAAACCAGAATATTTTCTACTTACTTGTCTTGTGGTTTTGTTTTTTTCAGAATTTTCTAACAACAGTAGCTATTCTTCTGGAAGCTGGAGCATATGTGAACATGCAGCAGAGCAGTGGTGAAACTGCTTTAATGAAGGTAAATTCAGTGTTTGTCCTGACACAGTTTAATAGTAAATACTTTTGGCAAACAAACAAAACAAAAGCATATCTGTAGAGTTGATTTAGGGGAACATGTACTATGTTTTAAATACAAATACTACTGTTAGTTATTCTAGGCAGTGTTTTAATCCATTTTTCTAATAAATGCAGATGCCATCAGCATACAATGCTAAATGTAGCTCATCATCCTCTTCTATTATTTGACTCAAGATGTGGTCTTAAAACTGATCAGCAGGAAGAGAAAAATTCCAGAAAGGAGAAACACTTGAGTGTTGCTGTGATTTACTTTTGCCATTTCATTGCAGGCCAGAAGTAAAATAACCGGTTTGCAGTCTCCTTCCCACTGCCTGTTCTGCACCTTTACTCCCTCCCATCACAAAGGAATTTTTTTTTTTATTTTGTTTTAATGGGAAAATTCTAAGACCCTTAAAACAGTCTGTGCTCCTCTTTTTTTCTTTTTTTTTTCTTTGTTCATACCAAATAATTCCACCAAAGTTCCCCTTCCTGATAAACTTGCTGTATTTATATGTAGGCTGTTAAGGCAATTTTTTTGCAGAGGAGATTAGAAAAGCTTTTCTGTCCAAGACAGTGTGGTATTGTTTCTCTTCTGTCCTCTGGAAGGCTTAACAAGTGTGGGGAATTCACATTTTCTGTAAAGAAAATGGTAACACACTTGTGGTTTCCTCAGCCACTTCAGTCCAAATTCTCTTCATAATTTGGCTACCTCCATGAACCTCAGTTTTGACCTTCATTGTTTTTAAAGGTTTTTATTAGTATTTGTTGCACAGCTGTACATACTTTCTAATTGGCAGCCTGCAGTGACTTATTACAGATATTTGTTTTGCTGTGCAGATACAAAGAAAAAGAATAGGGTCTTCATTTCCAGTAACTTACTGGAACAAGTTTAGCCATGTGTGGATAAACATAGAAATGTGTTATCAAGTCACTCTTATTTAACCTTAGGAGTTGGATCATACTTTTTGAAAGAGAGAAAAAGTCCTGGCACTTAATTCCTTTCTCTGAGGTGGTGTGTGATTTTTATGGGTTTCTTGTTTGGGGAGCAGATGGGTTTGTTTATTTATGGAAGATTACGGATTGAAAACACAGGTGAAAGTTCAGAGCTGAGACAAATTTCAGAAGTTAGCTTCTGAAACAGGCCTCATAAAGGTAGAAATTTCTCTCTCTTGTACATTTCCCTAATTCGTCCGAGTGAAGTGTTTGAACACAAGTGGTCAAGAGCATGTGTTTGCATTCTTCAGAGTAGGGCTTTTTTTACATTTTCCTGTTGTCAAGTCTTCGGTTGACATGCCCTGAAATTCTCATTGTAACATTGAACAGCATTGGACACTTCGGCAGTTGATAACAGTGACTAACATAACTAGATAACAATTTGGGGCAAATTCTGTTAATTTACTACACACCTGAAGTACCATTTGAACTGGGATTCCTAGAAACAGACACTTGGGAGTGTTACTTAAGTGATTCTGAATACTTCTGCAGAAACCCATTTATTCAGGTAAACAATTGCAAGAAAGTTCACAGTTACTGAACTCCAGCAGGTTACATGTTTTCACAGAACTTTTGGGTTTATCTGTTTGTTTATTTATTTTCTAATTAAGTCCACTTAGTAACCCTCAGTGTTGCTGCTTCTGTGGGATCAGGTGTGTAGTGTTGCTTGGGTAAAGATAAAATATTTATGGAGTGTGATCCTGAGTTTCCAGTTGTGTTACCATTTGCTGAGCAAATACCTAAACTTGTTTTCTGAATTGTAAATAATTTTGGATTTTAATTCATTTCCACAGTTCTGCCTACTCCAATGTTATGCTGTGTTCTAACGGGGGAATTGTCGTTGTTTTCCATCCTTCTATCTCCCCACTTTTTGCACAGGCTTGTAAAAGAGGGAATTCTGATATAGTGCGGCTTATGATTGAAAGTGGAGCAGACTGTAACATTTTGTCAAAGCATCAGAACAGTGCACTGCATTTTGCTAAACAATGTAATAATGCACTGGTGTATGATCAGCTCAAGAGTCATTTGGAAAAGTGAGTAAACTGTACTTTGAAGTTTGTTCTGGTAAAGTTTGCAATACTGGGCATGTCAATTTTGGTTTAAGTCAAGGGGAAGAGGGGGAGTTTTCAGGAAAGAAAACCGATCTGGTTTGGGCAGAAAGCTAACTAATAAATCATGTGAAATGAAAATGATGTGAGCTAACAGAATTAGCAGGCACTTGCTTAAACACTGAGTAAAAAGATGGAAAGGAGGAAAAGGGAATTACTAGAAGTGAAAGATTCCTTAAACTAGAGATACAGCAATCAGAAAAACTAAAAAGTGTATAGCACTGGGTAGGTGAATGTAAACTCTTGTTAGGGCATGCCAAATAAAATACCTTGCTAAAAAGCATAAAAAAACCAGAAACAAACAAAAGAACACCAAACAAAAATACCATGAAAAGTCAGTGCAGATAGTTAGGGTGTTGTTGGACCCTTAAATGTCAGCTGAGAGTGCCTTTCATGCCAGTAAATGATGGAAATAAAAATCTTCATGCAACAGAATGACTGAAGAGCAGTGCAGTCAGTGTATGCGGTATGTGAAGCATTCATGTCATATGGTCATATAAAGTATACTGAGCTGAAGAACCTCAGTGTACACAAGTCTGTGGGACCTGATGA